TGTGTCATCTATGTGGTAAGGCAAATCATGTTTCCTTGAAGTGCTATAAACATTTTGACATTAGTTTTACTTGTCAAAACACCTCTATGTAAGCTCATCATCCTCATCTTGCTGAAAATTGTGTTGTCTCAAGCTCATGTTGGGGATGTTAGTGCTTCTTCTTCTTCTCCTCATGCCTCTGATCCCAATTGGTACTTTGGCAGTAGGGCCATTAATCATTTGATAGAAAATCTTGAGAACTTTTCTCTTCTTGTTGCTCCATATCAAGGTAATGACAAAGTCTTTGTTGGAATGGTTCCAAGCTTCACATATCTCACATTGGTTCCTCATCCCTTTCTTCTGCTCAAAACTTTTCAATTCCATTAAACAACATTCTTCTTGTGCCCAATATCACAAAGAATATTCTTAGCATCTCTCAACTTACCAAAGACAATAATATTCTTATTGAAATTTCACTCTGATTTCTGTCTTGTAAAGAACAAGATTACTCACCAAGTGTTGCTGGAAGGAATGCTTAAGGATGGTCTCTACCAGCTAGACTTATCCAAGAATGTTTCATTCTAACCAACTTTCATCATCTCCACGTGCTTTTGTCCCTTGCAATTTTAGCACTTCTGTTCAAAAACATGCTCATGAAATAAGTATTGATGATCTTTCATGTTGGTATAGAAAGATTGTTCATACATGTTCTAATGTGTTTAGGAGAGTCATGAATAGTCTTAACATTTCTGTACCTACTTCTTTACCCTTTTGTGATGCTTGTAAATTGGGAAAGCTACATCACTTGCATTTTGCTTCTCAACCTGCTAAAACTTCTTTTTCTTTTGAATTGGTTCACTTAGATGTTTGGGGGCCATCTCATGTGCTTTCTGTTGAAGTTTACGAGCATTATGTTCACTTTATTGATGACTTCACAAGATTTTCTTAGATTTTTCCTTTAAAATCAAAGGTTGAGGTCTCCACTGTCTTTCATCATTTTCACAACTTCGTTGTCACACAGTTTAATACTTCTATAAAATGTCTTCAACATGACTGTGGAAGAGAATATAGATCCCTTGTTCCTACTCTTAATAATCTTGGCACTAAGTTCAGACATCCTTGCCATCTCTCTAATCAACAAAATAGAAGAGATGAAAGAAAACACTTACATATGTTGAAATAGGTCTCTTTTTTTTTTTTTTTNNNNTTTTTTGCTTAAGTTCATTTGCCTCTCAAGTATTGATGGCATGCCTTTAATACTCTTGTATTTACCTTAAACAGACTCCCTACGCCTGACCTTCATAACATTTCTCCAGACGAACTCTTATTCAAATCTAAGCCTGATTTCACTTTTTTCAAGACTTTTGGTTGTATCTGTTTTCATTATTTGAGACCTTATAATTCTCACAAATTTCAATTTTATAGTACCAAATGTCTTTCTCTTGGGTACAACTTGCATCACAAAGGCTACGTATGTCGCAGTCCTCAGGGTAGGATTTATATTGCTATTACAGTTACTTTCAATGAACATGAGTTTTCTTATCCTTCATTGTTTGCGACATCTTTTTCTTCTTCATACTCTCCTCTCACCTTACCCTATCCTTTACCACAAATAGGTTCTTTGTCACTTACCCCCTTCTTCTTTTACAACTCATTCTTAGTCTCTCTTACCTTCATCTCATTCTTTCTTCTCACCTACTACTATTGTTCCTATCTTGGTACATCTACCTATTTCTCCTTCTTCTTATAATTCTTGTTCATCTATTCACACTCCTTCTAGTTCTCAGCCTCAATCTCAATCTTCACAAGCCCCTCTTTCCATTTCTCAATCCACTCATCATACGTCCACCAGATCCAAGGTTGGCATCTTCAAGCCCAACACCTTGTTCAACTCACAAACCTTCCTCTTTTAGAACTGGCTACCCCAAATGAGGACTTGTCAAGACTTGAATGGTTGGGTGCTATGAAGTGTGAGTTTGATGCTTTGCTTCAAATAATAATTGGGTTTTAGTGGATCTACACATGATATGAAAGTCTTTACAAATAAATGGGTGTTTAGAACTAAGTATAAGTTGGATGGTTTAGTGGACAAGCTCAAGGTTCAGCTGGTTGCTAGGGGTTTTAAGAAAAGCGCTGGTGTGGACTTCCTTAAGACATTCAGCCTAGTGTTCAAGGCATGCACCATTAGACTGGTGTTCACTCTAGCTGCCACTTATTCTTGGTCTATACAACAAATAGACATTAACAATGCTTTTTTGAATGGGGATTTGTTGACCCTACATGGCTCAACCAGTTGGTTTTATTGATCCTGCTCATCCATCTGATGTATGTAATCTTACTAAATTGTCGTATGGTCTTAAACAAACACTTAGAGTTTGGTTCAATAAGATCAAAGGGTTTCTGTTGTCCTTGAATTCCAAGGAGAGTTTTTTCTGATTCTTCATTGTTTTATCAAAGAAACAATGTAATATGTTATTAGTATCGATTTATGTGGTTGACATTCTCATCATATATGATAACTCTAATTCAGTGCATCAACTCATTACCTCTCTTGGTCAGCAATTTGCACTTAAAACAATGGGAGAAGTTAACAATTTTCTTGGCTTTCAGGATCTTAATTCTTCTGCTGGTTTTGTTTTGAATCAGTCCAAGTATGCTCTAGACTTACTAGTCAAAACTAACACGGTGCATTGTAAGTCTTTTAACACACCAATTCCTATAGCTCATAAGTTATGTCTTGCAGATCGTGCTTCTTTCTCAGATCCTATTCTCTATAGGAGAGTGATTGGTGCACTCCAATATCTCACAATGACTAGGTCTGACATCTCTTTTGTGGTCCATAAACTCAGTCAGTACCTTCTTCTCCCACCACGAATCATTGAATGGCTTGCAAACATCTTTTTAAGGATATTAAGGGCACCATCACAGTTGGTCTATCCTTTCAACCTGTTAAGAGGTTTGTTCTTGAGGCCTACACTGATGCTGATTGGGCTAGTTGTGTAGATGATAGGAGATCTAATGAGGGTCACTTTATTTTTCTTGGACCCAATATTTTTTGCTGGAGTTCTAAGAAGCAACAAGTTGTTTCTGGAAGCAGTGCAGAGTCTGAGTATAAGAGTTTAGCCACTGCCACCTCTGGTCTTATATGGGTGAAATCTTTATTCACTGAGCTTAGTATGTTCTTTGAGTCTCCCTTATTGTTATGGTGCGATAATGTTAGCGTTGCTGATCTTGCCTCGAATCCGATTCATATGCACGTACCAAACATATTGAAATTGATGTTCATTTTGTAAGAGAAAATGTGGCTGCAAAGGAAGTTGATGTTCGCTATGTTCCATGCACTCTTCAGTTAGCTGATTTGCTCACCAAACCTCTTATTGTAGGCCGGTTTCACTTGTTGTGTTCCAGGCTTCCCATGCAAGTTGAGGAATTTGTACAAAACTGGTTCGGTTTCTCGGGGGTGTATTAGATTAATAATAATAGATTAGTTACTAATCACTTAATTAGTTAGTATGGCTGTTAGGTTAGTTTTACAAGCTCACATGACAGTTGTGCTAAGGGTTTTATACCCTCCTTCTCTTGTTTAATTCAACACAATATTCATATGAAAATTCAATATATGTTATGGCTCCATACTCTCTCTAACAGTGACCTATAAAATTACAATTATCTACAAAATATGGCATCAATTTAAATCGGATATAAACAGTATTTAAAAGATTGTCATTTCTAATCTCACAACATTATAGTAAAATTTATTTTTTAAATAAATAAACATATTATTATCTCGCTAAGTACTAAAGATGTCAAATTTGATGACCAAAGCTAGCCCAACTCAAGCTTGCTAATGCACATTGGATGATGACCAAAGCTAGCCCAACTCAAGCTTGCTAATGCACATTGGATGATGACATGGATCTCGAGACCTAATGTTTTGAGATGCAAAATGGTCTGGTTCAAAAGTTCAAAAGTTTCGACCTCACCACTGATTATAGTATTGCGTTTTTCACCGTTAAATCAACTCACAAACATTCATATGAGTGTTAATCTAATGATCTGTGGTTTGTGGTTAGCTGCATTTGATTGGTTAGGATACTGCATGTTTTTGCTTTATAATTTAATTAGGAAAAATAACCTTTTTTTTTAAGATAATAATTATATATAACCATTAATTATTAGTATGAATATGACGATGTTTTTTGTTAAGTAATGAATTTATTATGACCCGTTGGTTTTTTTCTCACCTATTTCACCACTCACCAGTGATATGTAATGCAATATATTATTATAAACCAACCTCCAACCACTCCAAAACAAAAGGGAAACGCAAATACATAGGTCAAAATCAAACCAGAAGAAATGTTTATCAAGTCACAAAACCCCAAACCATAATAGCTAACAAACTATACCGCAAAATTTGAAGAGAGTAGGTTAGACGTGTCCAAAGGCCGGTCAATCTCACGACCCGGCCTGGCCTGTCGAGTCAGCGGGCCTCAATATATATTGGGCCCAGAACAGGCCCGACCTGACGGTTCATTGAACCGTCGATTTTTTATTTAAAAAAAAAAATAAAATAAAATCAATTACAATCCGCCTTTTGACCCAAAACCGACAAGTAAAGATGATGAAGACCCAGAATCGGCCCTTAAAAGCTAAAAGTTCAATTCAAAAACTGGTAGATCCAGTCGGGTCACTAGGACAGGTCGACCCTTAACCATGTCTAGAGTAGGTAAAGCGAGCAAATTTATTCCCAAAAAATACACAAAATTCCAAAAAAAAAAAAAAAAAAGATTGTGGGCCCTACTCCCACCACAAACCCCAAAATACACTTATATAAAACCCCCCACATATTCTATTTTAGATGTAAGAAACCATCAAAACCTATATTGAGTAATGAAACCTCAAAAGAGAGTGAATTTTTTTCCCAACGTCGTCACACAAATATTTTCAAATATTTGAGAAGAAAAAAAAATATTCTTACGTAAACAACACAAAAACAGAGGGAAATAGAGAAAAAAAAAATGGAGGAGAGAATGCGGTCAAGGAGGCAGACGAGCCTGGGGAGCATTGGCCGGAGCTTGAGCCGGGGGATGGAGGAGGTGTTTTCCGGCGGAGGCGGCGGAGGCGGGACACCTCAGCGGCGGAGCGCTCGGGGGGAGGAGGACGAGGAGGCCCTGAGGTGGGCGGCGCTGGAGAAACTGCCGACTTACGACCGGCTGAGGAAGACTGTGCTCAAGTCGTTCATGGAGACTCCGACAAACGGGAGCCTGAAGGTCGTCCACCGGGAAGTCGACGTGAGAAAGCTGGACATAAACGACCGGCAGGAGTTCATCGACCGCTTTTTTAAGGTGGCCGAGGAGGACAATGAGAAGTTTCTTATCAAGCTTAGGGACCGTATTGATAAGTAAGTTTTTTTTTATCATTATCATTATTGTTATTACGCTAAATTGCGAAATATAGTCAGTATATTCGCGGTGGCAATAATAACCACAATTTTACGAATTGATAATAACAGCAAACAACTTTTAAAATATCGGCGTTATTGCCCAATTCCAGCCAATATTACGGTTAAATTGCAAAATATAATCATTCTCTTTTAATATCTGTCGAATTTGACGACTTTAGTAATAACCTTAGTAGTTTAAAGATTGTTAGCTACTATAGTCAATTCGTAAAAATGGTGACTATTATTGATACCGCGTACAATAAACTAACTATATTTTGTAAATTAACCTTATTACTATTATTATTACTGTTATTATACTTGTTGTTGTTGTTGGTTTTTTTTTTATTTGTGCTTGAATTTGATTTCTTTATATCCAACATTAGTGTGAAATGGAAGATAAAAATTGAGTTAATGTTTTTCCATAAATGTCACTAATCGTTAAAGAAAATTTGTTTGATGATAAACATGGTAATTGATAAGGGACACTTTTTTAAGAGCAAGTGACAAAATAACTTTATTGATATTTGGGGAAATGATATCCGTTGGGGTTTGTAACCATTAGATAATCTTGTAATAATCAGAGATACACTACAAAATAAACTCTTACATTCCAACGGAAAATTTCCGTTGGAATTCTTTATATTTTCCGTTGGAATAACTATTTCAACGGATATTTCCTACGTACAAAATATTGTGGAAAATAAGGCCGTTGGAATTCTTTATATTTTCCGTTGGAATAACTATTTCAACGGATATTTCCTACGTACAAAATATTGTGGAAAATAAGGCCGTTGGAATAGCTAAAATCCAACAAAAATCCTATGGAAATCGATTCCTGCAACTATTCCAACGGAAAAAATCGGTTGGAATTCCTCAATCATCCAACACTTATTCCAACATAAAATTAAGTTTGTTGGAATATTCATTGGAATTTCCAACGAAATTTTTTGTCGTTGGAATTTTTTGTTGGAATTAAAGTTTTTCTTATAGTAATAGTTGATCTACCGGTTATGTATCCCGACAGAATGTTCCGTAACGAGACCGTAGCATCTCTCGATACTTTGAATCAAAGATTAATTTCATTAATTAGTGGTGTTTAAATCTATTTAGAAAGAGGGTAAGGAATTGTGTGGTGAGTATAAACAAGAATACTAAATATTGTTGAAGGGATTTTGTGTGGTTGGTGGATGTCATTTTAATTGGGTAAGATATAGTAATTGAGCTGTTGAGGCGGTGATAGAGATATACATTGGATTATTAATAGTCATTGGAAAATGAAGAATGATCATTATTTAACCCAAGAAGTATTCACACTTGGTCAACAGTAGTACTGTTAAATCATTTAATTTGAATGAGTAATAACACTTTTATTTATTTTTTATTTTATTTGTAATTTTTTTGGATGTCTAAAGTAATAATTAAAAACCAGTATTCTACTTGTGAATTTGCACAAATGTAAATAAAATATTGTGAATTATTTGTATGCATATAATGATTAATTATTTTTCTTTCACGTTTTTGCAGCCAAATTTACAATTAAAGGAGTTGATTTTTTTTTTAAATTTCGTTTATTAGATTGGATGTAACGTATATTTTGGTATGTATTTTTTTTTTAAAATTATTTATAATTTATTTAGGAGTTTCATATACTTTTTTTATTTTCCAAAAAAAATAATTTACATGTAACCACAATAATAATATCTAATCACATTATACGGTAACACATTATATGGTTAACTGTTAGTAATCAAAAGTTGAAAATGATTTTTGTATTTTAAATTGATTAGTGTATTGATTATCTATTAATTAGGTTAAATAAATGAAAAGTAACGGTTTTTGGAGGGAAAATGTAAAGTGTCACCTAGGTATAATTTATGAGGTTTTCTTAAATGTAGAAGAGCTAGTAATTATATATATATAGATTCAAGACTAGAAAAAGATATCCTTACCTAAAAGTGGTTTTAAATTCTAAATCACATATAATTTGAATGAGTAATAACACTATTTTTTGGGATATCAAAATTAATGATGATAATTCAAAGACTAGAAAAAAGGTATCCTTACCTAAAAGTGATTTTAAATTCTAAATCACATAATACTTAATTTCTTATGTTAGTTTCCTCTCAATAGGTTCCCTATATAGGTCATATGTTACCTACAACTAGTAAAAATTGATGATCCAAATTTGACCTCTTCACACCAATTATCACATTCAACCACACAAATTATACTTTAATTTTTGGCTCTTACTTAGAACCATTTTCAAAGATTAATCTACTATATGTGGTTATATAACCTCAATCAAACACACCTAAATAAAAAAATAAAAATTAAAAATTGCTCTCGAAGTATTAATTATGTGTTGTCCCACATTGAATTTGTAGAAAAATTAGGCCTAGCTTATATGTCTAGTGGGCTACTCCTCCGATGGTTTTGGGATGGAACTTCATTATGGTGCACCTAGACACGTTCTCTTATGGTGCGCTTTATCTGCATGGGACCGCACCCTCTTGCCCCAATTCTCTAATCTTACAGATAGATATAATTAATTTTTTTTGACGATCTTTATAATTTGCAGAGTTGGGATTGAACTTCCGACAGTCGAAGTGAGATTCGAGAACCTGACTATTGAAGCTGATTGCTTTGTCGGGGACAGAGCACTACCAACCCTTCCAAACGCGGCCCGTAACTTAGCCGAGACAGCATTGGGTTGTTTTGGAGTTAGGATGGCTCAAAAGACTAAGCTCACTATACTAAAGGATGCATCGGGCATCATAAAGCCCTCTAGGTATTGAGATTAAACACTTTCCAAAAATAAATAAATAAATAAATTGCAAGAGAGTCTTGATATTTGACCTAATTGGTAAACGAAATAAAATTTAAAAATAAATAAATAATTGACTTTTGATATTACAAAAAGTAAATGATTAGCTGTTTTTTTTCTTTCTCGAATTATATAAGTCAAACTCAAAGTCACAAAAGGGGTACTATTTGAAGTCATCCCTTAAAGACATTAATGTTGGTAAAAAATTTAAATGTATATTCTTGCTTGATTGATTCAGTATATATCTTTATTTATTTTATTGGGGTTAATTAATTAATTAATTAATATCTTATTAATTAATTATTAATATCCTTTAAAGTGTGGTTAAATTGTGACAGGATGACACTATTGTTAGGACCACCGTCCTCCGGTAAAACAACCCTCTTGTTGGCTCTGGCGGGAAAATTAGACCCTACTTTAAAGGTTTGACTATATAGTTTTGTTTTTTATACCTATTTTAATTTTTTTTAAAATTATTCTTTGTTTTTTTTGGTACAAAAAATTATTCTTTGTTAAATGATATACGCGCAAGAATCTTATACCCAAAAATATAAGAAATATAAAAAAAA